AAAAAATGTAATAGTTCTCTGAAGATTCTGCTACAAAATATCACGATTCTTTTGTTACTTTTATTTATTTCCTATATCTGATAGTTCGTGAAAAAGAGCTTAGGGAAAAAATGGCAAAACAATGAGGGGAAAGAGGATGGGACAAGAAGCAATGGGCTTACATTGCAGCAAGGGCGGTTGTCAGGGTGGTTAACCGCTGGAATAACTTGCCCAGGGATGTTGTGGAATCCCCATCATTGGAGATTTCTAAGAGCAGGTTAGACAAACACCCGTCAGGGATGGTCTAGATAATACTTAGTCCTACCACGAGTGCAGGGGGCTGGACTAGATGACCTCTGGAGGTCCCTTCCAGTCCTACAAGTTTATAATTCTATGAAATACTTGCCCATGCTAAATTATGATAGGTAACAAAGAAGGCATATCAAATTGTTTCACTGGAAAACAGATTCCAGACAGTTATCTGGAATCTGGAATCTGTAAAATTGCATTTTAATTTTAAGCAATGCTCCCAGCTCTCTGATACCCATGCCCTGTGTTTCCCGTTAAACTTTTAAAACTTTTGGATTAGTTTAGTTTTTAAAACTTTATTTGCTATTATTACTTCAAGTCAGAGGGTGCTGCTGCACCCCAGGCACAGCTATGTCTAATGCCCCTGACTGGACCCAAGCGTCCTCCACAAAATCCTTTCCCTCATAATCTGCTGACATGCTCTGCTCATGGCACGGGGTCTCTTGGCAGCAGAACCTCACCTTCCCCTGCAGAGGAGCCATCACGTGGAGCAGCCCCATCTCCCACCCCCAAATCAGCCATGCACATTGCACCCTCTGCTCCTGGCCAGAATGACACCGGCCTTACTCCGACTGCACGGCAGTCACCAAGCCAGTGGGATTAAGGTCACTGGAAGCATCCAGTCAACAGAGAGGGAGAAGGTGGGACATTAGGAAAAACTTCCTAACTGTCAGGGTGGTTAAGCACAGGAATAACTTGCCCAGAGAGGTTGTGGAATCTCCGGTCATTGGAGATGTCTAAGAGCAGGTTAGACAAACACGTGTCAGGGATGGTCTAGATAATACTTAGTCCTGCCTTGAGTGCAGGGGTCTGGACTAGATGACCTCTCGAGATCCCCTCCAGCCCTCTGATTCTATGATATCACAAGGAGCTCTTCACCGGGGGGGCACCTGCCTGAGCACTGGGCAGGGAAAGGGACACACTCCTTCCTACCCTCAGCATTCAGCTCCACTGTACCCCCCACCACACACACACACACACACACACACACCACTGCACACCGAACACACACACACAGATTGCCCCCTAGGCACACACGCACACACACACACACAGCCCACTGCACACCGAACACACACACACAGATTGCCCCCTAGGCACA